GATGCCACATGATTTTAAACATATTCTTTAATATGAGACACTGAAGAAATTTGAAACTTTTTCTTTCAAATTTGGAAGTGAGTTCAGGTTCTAGGACTTATACTGTTATGTATAAAAATAAATAATGAACGTTTGATTCCTTAGGAAAGGCCAAAAGCTGTACTTTCTAGCTCTTCACAATGATCTAGAATCCCTGCAATAAGGATTCTGAATTTTTGACATAATGAGCAATAGTGTCAACAACAAAAACATCAAAGCAAAACAAAATTACAGAATTAATATACTCAAATGGTTCAGTACCAAGACTCAAAGAAACTTCCATAATTCTGACAATAAATTCTGTGTCCTCTATAAATGAACACCATATTTGCAAACTGAATTATTGAAGCTCTTGCATAACTGATGAAAAAAGGAATACCGTGTCTGTCTTAAGCATACAGACCAAATCCAAGGCCTTTTTTTCCCATGAAGTACTTTGAAAAAATTTTTGATACTTTCACAAAACAATACAGATATAAAAGCACAAGAAATTCCAAAGAAGACTAGTGTAAGAGTCAAAATTATTGCCAAAATACTTCCCCAAAATTAGACCAGACCAAAAGTTACATTATGAAATTACCAGGTAAAACTTGACAGTAAAAAAGAATAGGGTGTACTTAAGAGCAACAGAAAACACTGCATCTGCAGAGTCATAAACACACCACTTACTGCTTTGACTCATGGTGACAGACCTCCAGTGTGGGATCATTATAGATGAAAGCTGCTTCTAAATCATTGACTCTCACTCTGTAAATCCGGCACTGTTTACTGTTCAGCTTGATTCTGTTCAGGTTTGCAACTGTGGGAAATATTGTGAGTTCCACATAACCCTACAAAAACACAAATCAACATCTTCTGTAAAATCTTTATCAACTCAAAAACTAGAAGATATAAAAAATTATTACCAATACAATTTTAAAAAATCACTAGTATAAAGATGATATTTTCATATTTAAAAAGGAAAATTAATTGCCCTTTACATTTTCTTTCATACCATTTAACAGGTGCATTTTTGCAGCTGTAAATGAAACAGACAAAACAAAAAATTCAATGTGACTGACAATCATGCCTGTTTTACTGGAAAAAATCTGCCTCTATTGACTAGATTTCAAGTTATTATGTTGTATGTTTTGGTACTTGAACTTGAGACAAGAATTCTTAAAGCCTAAGCAGAATCTTTTTAAACAGATATGTAGATTGACAAAGATCCTTGAAGGCTTTAGGCCTGAAATGACAAAAGTCTCTTCAAAGCCCAAGTGAACTCACATACAAGGCAGAAAACTCTGTAAGCCTATCCCAAACATCAGCTAACTCTATGGGAGTATGAATTTTGAACTGCAAATTGCTCTGTAATATTTACAATGCAGCAGCCTTCATTCAGAAATCTTTTTCAAGAAATGCTCACAATTAGAAGGAATTTTATCTCAAGCAATGACAGACTTATGAGAAGCATCAGATTAGAAAGTACAACCTATGAAGTAGCTAAACAGCATAATTAGCTTGTGAGAGCAGTTTTTTCCTCTAAAAGCATGAAGAAAACCCAGACAATTTCTACTTCAGACTTTATTAAGAAATACTTACTACAACAGACTTTCTCTGAAAATTTATGTTGTTGATACAAACTACCTGATGAGTTGTGCTGAAAGAAAAAAAAATAAGGTAAGGTTTTGCACAAATGCCAGCATTTAAAATAATACTTTAACCCAGTTTAACAAAGAGCCACGCAGCATATATGTACATAAAGATAAATATTGCAAATAGAATATACTTTTATAAAAATCATTAATGATTTGTTTCAATCTTTTATGTAGTCTAAACCAAATAACGAATAGAAGTTACCCACAATGTCAGGAAAGTCCCCCAAGAAATCAAACACATTATCATACCAGGATGAACACTGCTGGTAATACAGGAAGATAACATAATGTTTGAACACCACTTATTTGTATGTCAAAATAAAGAATTACAGATGGCAGTGTCCAGGTCTAACACTGCAGTGATGAGCAGTATCAGCAGTGGCATAACCCATAACACCTGCAATCAGAGAGCTGTGGAAAGTTTACCAGGAGAGCTGACACTCATACATAATTTAGGTAAGCAGGTATTACACATTAAAAGACACAGTATGTGCTTTTACAATTAGCATGCCTTAAGAATTTGTAATTTAAAATAATGCTAATCCATTAAACAAGATAGGTATTTTATACTAGTCAAATGCATTTGCTTGAATTTTGAATGACATATTAGAACTCCTGGTAAATAAAACTATTTAAAAGGTAGGAGATAATAAAATTCCAACTTTTTAAAAACCCTGTAAGTTATTTCTATGTCATTTTCTGTAGTGGGTGTCATCTTTACAGCAGTGGATTTCATGACTCAAGACAAAACCTTGAAAGAATTCAACTTCTATGGCACATCATGCTTTATCTGCACATATCCTGTGGATTGAGAAGTGACATTGCTTCAGGTGAAAAAATAAAAAATTCTTACAAGAGAATTACATCTAAAAATGTAATTCAGATTCAGATGTTACTTACATTAAGTGTATATGAGAAGACTGATTCTACTTAGAAATACATTCGTGTAAAAGATTTATAAAGGAATCAAAGAGGTATAACAAGAAATCTATTAAAATGCACTGAAATCCACCCTCAACTGCTTTGTAGCTTGGTTACAACTCAAACAGTTAATGTGTGAAAATGACAACTTGCTTAACAAAGCAGCTTGCTGCAAAGGCAAATACTTTTTAATACATAAAAAGCCCTCAAGTCAAAAGGGCTTTTGTTTTTGACACAGCAGTACATATGGAACATCGTAGTATGGTGTTTAGTACGGACACTGTGTGAAGAGATGTTCAAAGCTTGAAAAGTATAATGTAAATATCTTCGTGGGACTGCAAGGTTGACAGACCTGCTGCCCATGAGTAAGTCCATTTACACATTCAAACATACATCTGCAACACACATTTTCTGAATGCAGGCTACACCACAAGCAACAGCTCCTACTTAAATAAATCACTATTAATCAGCCTTTGGCCTGATTCAGTGTGCATTGGTTTCAAGTATAGCAATTTTTAAAAAAAATGGATACTTATAATTTATAGGGCCTTGGGCTTTCAAATCCTTTGTCTCCTTTCTTCCTGTTCATCCTGAACCGCAGCACTGAGCACACTCTGCTGACCGTCAGACTGGCATCAACACCATCCTCACTCAGCGCCTCCTTCGGTTTTCCCCCGTGTCACGGCGCACTTCATCTCTCATCTCCCCAGCGGCTGCGTGACCCCCGCAGTCAGGAATCCTCGGCCGGAGCGAGCGCCATCGCTACAGCAGCACCCGGCAGCGTTTGCACAAACCCTCCTGTGCTGCACACGCAGCCCCTCTCTCTGCTGGGCTTACGGAACCACTCCAGAGGCGCTTCCTCCCCACGGGAACTACGGAAAACAACCGGCTCAGCGGGCAGCGCCGGAATCAGGAGGGCCGCGCCAGGACGGCGGGGCAGGCACGGGGCTCGGCCGGCCGGGAAAGGCGCGGAGGGCGGCGCGGGCCGGGCGGTGGCCGCGGGTCTCCCTCAGCAGCGCGCCCGCCGCGGCGCTCCCGCAGCCGCCGCCATCTTGGCAGTCACCTCCGACCCCGCGGGTGAGAGGTCACGGCCCGACTGACTGAGCGCTGTCACTCCAGCGGGAACGGCTGCTGGGGCTTTGCTTTTTACAGAAAGGCAGACCGGAGAGAATAGGAAAATTAAAAAAAAAAAAAATTAAAAAAAAAGGAAGAATAAAATAACCCGGCAGAACAACCCAAAAGCCGAGGGGCCGCGCCGTGTCCCCGTGCGCAGGCGCCGCAGCTCGCGCAGGCGCGGGCGTGCGGAAGGCGGGAAGGGGCGGCGGGAGCAGCGCGCGCCGGGAGCGCCCCTGCCCTCCCACAGGGATCGCCAGGCTCCTGTGGGAGCAGGACACGGGATACAGCTCCTCCATAGCCGAGATTGTTATACGTGACTTCAGATTAGTGTATCCTAGGTTAAAATAAGTGGTTGCATCAAAGAAACTGATGGGGAGTTTGAAAGCGTCATTTCATTTTCAATGTGTGACAAAACCAATGAGGAGCACTGCACACATGGAATGATAACACTCACAAAATTAATTTAAACAAACTCTTCCAATGGCTGCAATAAAGCTCTATTCATTAAATACTTAATTTCTTATTTGTTTTACAAAGAAACACCTATGTAAATACAAATTTGGAGCACAAATATAAAAGTATCAATTGTGCTGTGTATTTCAACTGAGAGGTTTTCTGTGATGCAACGGAAGGAATTTCCAAGGAATTTCCAAGGCTTTTCCATTCACACAACCATTGATCTCCGGCAGTGAACCTTCTGGAGCTGTTGGAACCAGACAGCAAACAAGGCAGTCCCACCAGCAGAGCCATTCTGCATCTGCACACAGCTGGTCAAACACAGCAATGTGCAGCACTGGCAGCAATAAACACAGCTCAGGAAGGAGCTTTTATTCAGCTTTTTTTGGGCCTTCTGTGATGCAAGGGAAGGAATTTCCAAGGAACTTCCAAGGCTTTTCCATTCACACAACCATTGATCTCCGGCAGTGAACCTTGTGAGCGGAGCTGTTGGAACCAGACAGCAAACAAGGCAGTCCCACCAGCAGAGCCATTCTGCATCTGCACACAGCTGGTCAAACACAGCAATGTGCAGCACTGGCAGCAATAAACACAGCTCAGGAAGTAGCTTTTATTCAGCTTTTTTTTTTTCCTAAGTATGCACACAGTGTGCATCTAAAGAGTTACATTTGATTTAGGAGGAGCTTCTCTACTCTCCCCATTCACTCTACAGCTGGAATGCTGGCAGTTCCAAGGTATTTCCCACCTCCCATCTGAGTGTGATAGAAAAAATTGTTTTGGTATCAAATAACCAAAAACTGTTAAGCTTAAAATATAAACCTGAAAATGATCTAATATTAAACTCTGGTTTACTGACATGCAAACAATCCTTTTTAATGATTACAAAATTACCATCTCAGGCACACCACTTCATGACAGTATCACAAAACCACTCTGTTTCATTGCTCTCCATAGAATAATATTATCATTACAAAACGGTAAGGTTTCAAGGCACAATTTCTATATGCTGTAATTTGCCCTAAAGAAGTTTTATAAAAATAATTGTACTACAAAGTTTTGTAGGTTATTTTTAAAAAAGCACAAGTAGTCTTCTGTAAAGCATCAGTTTTACCTCAGCTATATTTTAATGTCAGTGTATAGGAAATTTGTAACACAATGTCCAACTACTCTCTCTAATATTCACACTTCACTGCAATTAGGTTTTTTTGTATCATATATAAGGCCATTCTGCCAAGTATTAAAGTGTCAGGTGCTTGTACTGATGGTGTTCATAGACATGACCTTAAAAAGAACCACTTTTCAAAATCAAGACTGATGTAGTCTCAGTGGGGAATGATTTGTTCATGAGCTTGATGAGCTCTGTGATATTCAAAATGTGAACACTGCATTGAAACTTTAAGAATGGCCACTAATAGGGAGAAGACTAAAATTTCCATTTTGCTATTCAATTCAATGGCTTGAATTATTATCAAGGAGGTTTGAAATTTTCATTTCAGACTTACAGATAAACAGATTACATGTATTCAAGAAGTAGTTGGGCAAAGGAAAGTTGGCAAAGAAGGCTGGCAAAGGAAGGTGAGCTGAATATCATTCCTTAGAGGCCACAAGTGTCCTCACACTCTCCTTAGCTTGGCACAAGACAAGTTCAAGTAGCCTAGCTTAAACTCAAGTACACTGTATAATGATGGTTGGCCACTCTTTTCCCCAGAAGGCAGCAGCAAGTAACATTCACTGCTACTAGATTCAGTATCCTCAGTTCTTCAAACAATACTTGTTATGAGATGGGTCTTCTGGAATTATAAACTTTTACACCATTCAGCATTGAGGAGCGAGCATATTTTGTCAGAAGAGCACCAACAGTCTGCTTCTCTGCACACAAGTCTCTACAGAGGAAATAAAGCACAGGACATTGCCATGAAGAGATACTCTCCCACAAAATGAATCTGTAAAATATTAGCAATTACAGCAATAAAATGGATTTGGATGTTACGAAAAAAACCCAGAACTACTGTAACTGTACATAATGCTTTAAATTACCTAAAGTTTAGAACTTACCTTGACATTTACACACTAGGCAAAACTACACTATTTACTTTAGAAAAAAGAATTTTGGGTTTTAGGCAGAGTTTTATTATTACTGTTCTCTAACAGTTTTCAATCTAGCAAAACAGCTAGCTCTGAACTATTCAGTTATATTACAGTAAATTTAGAGCCACTCATAAAAGGTTGATGCAGTTACTTCTTGGTTAGCATCAACATCTGCTCACATATCTCACAGCTGGAAATTCCAGATAATGCAGTAGTGTAAGTCTTAAGTACCAAAGGAACAAAGTGTGCAGTACAGGAAGCACTACTTCTTTATAGTTCTAGTGTTGCAAATATACAGACTCATTAAATGTCAGCAAATTTAGCCTTTGAATTGTCTGCCTTAATCAAATGAGAGTTATCACCCATTTAAACCCAGTAGGATCAGTTTTTTACACATATTTAAATCCAAAAAAGAGAGATACAGATCCCAGAGGTGGGTATTCTATTCATACAGAATCCATTTAACTTAAAATGCAAAGTATAGTAGTATCACTAAGGCAGTGATAGCTCATCAGAAGCCAGCTATACAATTAAGGAAGAATATAGTACTAATTATGTTTTAATAAAAATAAATACATCCTTACTGTATATAAGGGGTAATATCCACTTCTGTCCACTTTTCCCGTATGCCAAATAAGCTGTTGAATCTTTCCTGATTGTCTTCAGGTAAGTCTTCCACTTTTAGCAGAAAGATGGTCTCTGGTCTGGAACTTTTATCCACAAGAGCCAAGCCCTGCAGAACAGCATCAGAAAGGAAATGTTAAGAACCAACAGAACAATTAAACTTCTTTCTTTCTGACAATGTTCCATTTAAGTTGCTCTTTGCAGATCCAAAGCCTTCCAGAAGTGCCCTACCAGAGGCAAAGTGAAGAGGCATCATAAAGGCACTGTTTTACAGGCAGTATTTATCATTTCCTTTATGATAAGAAGGAAGTGAGAATCCATTGGGTTCCAACATCTCTCTGCCTGCTTTGAGCAACAGGATTCTAGTAGTGTTTGCTACTCTACTGCCTTCACTACCATCTGTTCAACAACAGCTTCAGCTTCTGTTCCACTCACATTTACAAGTAGTAAATTACAGCTGCAACCTTTCTTCACAGTGAAAGGTGCCTGAGTTACAGAAACCTGAATTACCATGATTTCAGACTACTGGTGCTCATGGAGGACATCATAAAGCATGCTTGAACTCAGAAGCTGACAGAAACAACACAATACCCAATAATGGATAAAATTTATATATGACACAAGTCAGTTACAGCTTACTCACAAAATAATCCATATTTCTTTACGTGTTTACCTGAAGCTGATCAAGCCTGGTTGTCATCCCCTCAGGGACACTCTGTTGCCAGACTTCTTCAAACTCTGACAGGTTGAATTTAACTGCATTCTGCAAAAGCATTTGTGCTATAGCTCTGCATATTTTATCTTCATGCATTGCAAAGAAAACCTCCCCTGCCGAGAAGCAAAAACTAGGTTATCTTGGGTTCATGCCTTTTGATAAAACAATAGCATTGTATTTCCATTCTGTTCTACAGTCTTCTATACACCAAGCATCCTTTCTTTTCTTTTCCTTGGAAAGTTATTTGACTTGGTATTAATTTGGATAAATTATGGTATCTTCTCATTCTCAAGAACAAATGATGCAGAATACAGCAGCACTGTCCCAACTACAGCTCTCATTCCTATTTCTGAATGGCTTGTAAACAAAACTTTCACTTCTTTAATCACTTTTATGAGATTATGAAGGGATGAGACTTCATTTTCTCTCACACCGACTTGGCTAAAATTTTCTGAACCAAATCAGGTATAAACACTTCCTTCTATTGGTTCAGCCACCTGTCTGTAATTCAGACTCGTTCCTTGGTGCAAATTGCCTAAATATATTAAGAGTCTGTTGTCACTCCAATGATTTTCTTATGTTCTTTAAGGTTGAGTGCAACTTGTTCCTTGTGCAAATTGCCTAAATATATTAAGACAAGAGTCTGTTGTCACTCCAATGATTTTCTTATGTTCTTTAAGGTTGAGTGCAACTCCTGCTTCAGCCAAAGTTGAGATGAAAGCCACTGTGGGGAAGAATTCAGACTGGATTAGGGCAGTGCAGTATTGTATCTGTGTGTGAGATGGACAATGGAAATCTAATTCCTACAACCAGTGGATCTTGTGGTGCTTTTCAAGAGATGAAATGCAGATACCTACTTCAGGCAAGCTGAATTCATGCCACTGAGTACTCATAATAGCACAATTAATTACTTAAATATCTGAGATTTGGCTATCCAAAGAGAGATGTCATCTAAATTTTACTAGTAAGCTCTCTTTAGTTATGAAATTATGGCTTGTACACACCTAAAAAAATCAGTTCCAGTACCTCTGTTTACAATTGTCTTGTACAGTTTAATAGCCTTTTTTTCCTATGAAACTTCCTTTAACAATTGTACTGATTTTTAGCCCAGTTTGCTCCCTCCTTATGCTGGCAGTGTAGCAGAGCCATTTGGGCCATTCTTCACAAAACCTACATTTTCTCACTAATAACTATTTCTTTTATACAAAGTTAAACCATGCAAGCTTTCCCAAACTTACCATCATCAACATATTTCCTGCCATAGCTTAAAAGAATGTGTTCTATCATCTCTCTGCAAAAAAAAAAAATCAGAAAACATGTTTTAACACTGTTTACTAGGACACTACTGAAACAGTTACCAAGAAGATTAAGAAATAGGTATGGAGAAAAAAATAAACTGAAGAGAATAGCTGATGAGACACATTTTTGTGGGTGAAATGCAGAAGCTGGTAAAAAAGTAAAAGAAGTAAAAGAGAGAAGGATCTCCCCCAAAGGTCTCTTCCACTTTCTAGTTATAACTAGCAAAGACTCAAATGCATAAGGGAAATAAGGAATAGACTCTTGCAATATCACTTTTTTTCCAATGAGAAAGAATTGTATCAGCAACAGTGTGGCCAGCAGGACCAGGGCAGGGTTTGCCCCCTCTCAACACTGGTGAGGCTGCACCTCAAATCCTGTGTCCAGTTCTGGGCCCCTCACTACAAGAAGGACATTGAGGGGCTGGAGTGTGTTCAAAGGAGGGCAACAGAGCTGGGGAAGGGTCTGGAGCAAAAATCAGATAAGGAGCAGCTGAGGGAGCTGGGAGTGTTTAGCCTGGAGAAAAGGAGGCTCAGGGGAGATCTTATTACTCCCTACAACTCCCTGAAAGGAGGCTGCAGCCAGATTTGCAAGACTATAATTTTAATAGACAGTTAACAAGTACTGGAATTACTCATAGTTACTAATGAAGGTAGGCAATTGTAAGTACTAAAAAATAATTGTTTACCTGGGTTCTAGAGATCCAAGTTCTTCAAGGCAGGCACAGAGAGGAACCTTACTCAAAGGCCAGGACTCTGAGTCTATTAGCTGAGTCACATGATTCAGGAGTTTCATCTCATAATCAAAGTCTAGAATTCTCCAATATCCTGCCAAACAGAGCACCACAAAACACTGTTAGAAGGAAAACATTAACACCTTAATTCTATTGCCACTAAGATACATTACTGCAGTCTGGACATCCAGGTCACACCTTTACAATATGCAGCAGCATCATGTTGTTTTCAGGATTAAAAGCTGAGAACAGGAGCTAAATAATGAGAGCATATGTAAAGAAGAATGAAACTTAATTACCTCAATTGTTTGGAATTCTTTAGTATTATTTAACTGCCATAAAACACTAAAAATATCACTCCAAGATGAATCAGATGTGGAAGAACTAATGCTCAGTTCAGGAACAGAACTGCATGAACAGAGCCGGCTGCATTGGCCCTACAAAGCAACAGCTCAGGCCCAGAGAAGTTCACAAAAATCCAGAAACCCAGATGACTCCAGGGCTGCCATCACCTTGTGTCCCAGTGAGGGTTTGGGCATGGCCAAGTAAAGGATGAACAGGACCTGTCCAAGGTGAGGCATTGCTCAAGCCTTTCCTCACATGGCACGAAGACACTGAGATAAACCAGGTCCAGGAGGAAGAAAGGACTATGAAAAGGATGGGGTTACCCAAGAATCAGCTGTTTTTGCCCCCAGGACTACAGAAAGCAGCACCCACTGATTCATGAAGAGTGTGACCTGCTAAAATATATTCATGCTGTGGGTGGGATACTCTGACACCAGTGTTGGTAGCAGCAAAAAAGGAGTTATCCTGGAAAGAGAGAGACTGGCAGTGCCTGCTCAGCTTCATCTTTCTGATCAGATTTGTAGCAGCAGAGGTAATGGATCTGTGGAAACAAGTCTTAGAACTTTGAAGTAACTTGCACCTTGAAAGACGAGGATGTGGAATAGGCCTTAGAAAAAGGAAACATACATTTTGGGGAAAATAGAGTTATTTCCTCATAGGTAATAATATTTTTTAGATACAAATACCTTCGATTTTGCAGGCATCTATAACCTGCAATTGGTGGAGTATTTCTTCTTCACTTGCTTGAATGAGACTTAACAAATCTTCTGTTGTATACTGCAACAAGGGGGAAAAAAGGAAATAAAAGAGGTTATTCTTACTCCTTCTTTGCTTCAGCAACCATACTAAATACATTATAAGCTATAATGAAGGAAAGACTGAAGATAGATGTTTTTTCCCCCAGACTGAATTTTCTAAGGTTTGCCACACTCTCTGAAACTCTTCTTGTAACTTAAAATGTGTTCTCAAAGGGTCATTCAATATAAAAGTCAGTCTAACTACAGCAAAGTCTGTACCAGATATAAGCAAAATACTCATATTCCCAGATTGCCAAACTAGCACAAGCAGACCTTGTAAGTGAAGTATCCCAGCAAGAATAAAAAGTCAATGTATTCTGGCTTTTCTGAAATCACATAGTATAGTCTGTGAGATTCAAAGAAAAGGCAAAGCAAAAATCACTTATCAGTTTTGGATAGAAGTCAGAACCTGCATTTAGTACCTCCACTGAGGGAAAGCCTCCTCCACCATCACCTCAACAGTTACATGTTGTGTTTTGGTGTCTGCTAACCAGTTGGCACACACACAGCACAGAGCCAGCCAGAACAAACACCTCCCTGCAGAACAGTTACGTGGCGAGATGGGAAGGTGCTGTGGTGATGGGTCTATGAAGGTGTGGGTGGATCAGAAGTTACCATGAGGAGTGAAGTGAATGGAAGAAATACCAGACTTCAATGCACTGGAAATAGGACACCAATTCCTTTATTCACAGTAGAGCCTTTTTAATCAACTCTAATATTAAAGTTCTGCTGATTGTAGCTCAAAAATATTTCCTATCAGGAAGAAAAACATTGGATTCAGTGTTGGATTGAGATCTATCAGACTATGAGAACACAAATGGAGCATACCAACACTAAGTTTGGAACATCCACATGTTAAAGAAATATTTAATAAATACAGAAAGGCCTCCACTTCCTGCTATGCTATTTCTATCATGAGGTCAAGCTCCCATCAGTATGTCAATGAGGGATGACCCTATCATACAGTACTTAAAAAAAACCACTGCTAGCAATTGAGAGCAAAAATATCCCCAGATCAGTATGTGTGTTTGAAGTTTATTGCTGCCATTCAGATGCCTTGCACAGAACTCCTTGGGATATGTTTCTGCTTTGAGGCAAGTCCAGCAATCCCAACAGCTTCTTTGAATACATCACTGCTCTCAGCACTGATGCTTTTATCAGCTGCATTGCCCTTTCAAACATAAAATGGGTTGACTTGCACCATGTCCACACCAGCAACATCCAGATAATGTATTTAATATGTTTCTTACCCTTTTTCTTATCAGATGTCTATGATCATCTGAGTATGCCCTGTCATTTCACATAAAATTCAGTACTAGCCTACATATTTATAAGCTTTTCTCTTGTTTGCTAAATCACAACACTATGCAACAGGTTCCCTACAGTGCCATGGATCTTTATGGCTCTTTTGCTAGGGTTCTCTGTGTATGATGCAGTCCCAAAAATCATGAGACTCAGCTTACAGTAAACAACCAAAAGAGTAATTTGTTTTCAAACAGATTAAAGGTGGCCCATTAATTCCCAGCACACGATAAATATTAAGTGTAAGCAAACAAAACAGTGGAAATCAGTACTATATACACTGTTTGGGATTTTAGTAAAAATTAGTCCCATAGGAAAGAGTTTGCCCCTAGAGAGCTTTTAAATTCATTTAGGAGTTCCACCAGAGACAAGGTTAAGACTTGTCTACATTTATCAGATATATCTAGTTGTTACCCAGTGAGCTCATACAGGAAATGCATTCTCCTTCAAAAATAAATGGTGATCAATCCTTAAACCAGTCATTAATGTTTGGGAGACACTGACATCTTTTTAATAATACCCAATACTATGAATAAACACTATTTCATATGACTTTTTTATGTTGCTAGCCTTTGACAATGCTTATAATTTTCAGACAACTTAAGCCCTTTAACCTTTGCCATCCCTTATTTTGCTCTATGTCCTTCTATGCCTAGATCAGCACAGGTAGGCAATTCTGGGGGCAAGATTCTGTAACTAATCAGAAATCAGCCTGTTAATCATCCAAGAAGAGAGAAGCATCATGTCTCTCCAGAGAAAAGTAACATCTGTGTTTGCATATCCAAGCACATGCAGATGGTTTGGTAGTGTCAGCTTCAATCAAGCCTCAGCATAAAATACATGGGAGCAACTACTTTTTGGTTTTAAAGTCAACAGGAAAACCAACCGAGCTAACAAAACCCCAGAATTTTTATTAGACTTTTGGCTGAGATCATATACTGCACAGGCCAGGTCTCCCTATTATTCTTTAGGTCCCAAATTAAATTTCCTGGAAACACCATAAAACAGCAGGACAGGATTTAATTTGTGTTTTCCCTTCTTTTTAGCATGTCCTATTCCATAAGCTAACAAAACCCCAGAATATTTATTCAGCCTTTTGGCTGAGATCATATGCTGCACAGTCCACGTCTCCCTATTACTCTTTAGGTCCCAAATTAAATTTCCTGGAAACACCATAAAACAGCAGGACAAGATTTCATTTGTGTTTTCCCTTCTTTTTAGTGTGTCTTATTCCATGCCTTATATAATCCCTGTTATTCTCTTCAACTCCCTACTTCTCCTTGTCATCACCAATTACTGACTGGCTCTAACCTCATACATGGCAGACCTGAAGAAGAAGGAAAGGCTGCATTATACCTTAGTCAACATGTAACTCTCAAGGAATTTAGAAAAGCTTCTGAAGGTTGTGCTCCAAGAAACTTCCCATAGGAAAAGAGAAATGCCCAGTCTCCTTCCATGTCCTTCATTTTCCTCTTTTAACTAATAAAAGGTTGCTTACCTGTACTCACTGGAAGTGCTACCAACAATCAACTTGTTTAGAATAGAAGGGTTAAAAAGTTAACTCTAAGAAGCATTGTGAGGAAAGGGATTTTTCTACTTCAGGATGTTTCTTCACTTTAATTTGCTCATTATCAATTATAAGAAAGCAATTTACACAGCTGATTTACCTTTGAAAATGTTGAAGCCTGATCTTTCTGACTATCAGGCCCTTCATATGGATCTTCCATTAAAAGCTTCCTCAGTTTCTTCAGTTTTGGTCGACATCTCCTTAATTCCCAATAGTTCTTGGAGAAACCAGCAATCTACAAGAGAAAACAATGAGTCATTAAACATTTTAATGTAGCATCTGGATTCAAAGCTGCTTACCAAAAATTATCAGCAAGCAGTGTTAACCCTGTCACTGAAAACAAGTAACTATTAATAGGGTAATTACTTTAAAGATAAAACAATCATTCAATTAAAAAAAATTTACTACAGACAATAAAGAATAAAAATCCAGTGTTGATTGATGAAAATATGTTTGTAGTGCATAAGACAAAGGTAACAACTCAACTCTGCATGCAAATAATTGGAAATCACCATGGGATATATTTCTGCACAGTTCACCTCAAAACTGCTTTTTGTCTTTACAATAAATTGTATTACTGCCATGAAAGCCCTCCTCTACTAACCTGTCTATCTTCCCCACTTCTTCCCACGCTTGGGATCTACTTCATGGTCTTTTTAATGAATCATAGTCCTAAGTTCAAGCAAAGCAGATATTAAGGACAGAAAGCTACACTTGCACACAACTGACAAGACATCTCTGTTCCTTGCTCTGAGCCAACACACAAATGAAAAGTGTGCAACAGGAACTCTGGCTGTTCTTGATTCAACAACACTGACTTACCAAAGCTTTACCTTCAGAGTAATCCTGAGGTGTTTCACGGGGTACAGCTTTGACTTACTGCAAGAGTCTTTGAAGAGGCCAGACTATTGGAGGCTTTCAGCACCATTTCTATTATTTACCAAACTGACAGGAATAGGAACAGAATCACAGAGGAGAACAGGCTCCAGCTTAGTGACTCCTGACCCAATCACTAATCCCATGTTAAAACAGCTTCCACAAAAAAGCCTCTAGGCAGTGCTTTAAAATACCCTAACTGCTTTACTGGAGTACTTGAGGTATTTTAGAATCCCTCGATTAAAAAAAACAAAACCAAAAAACCAAAAAAACCAACAAAAAAACCCCTAAAACTTTAAAATAATATTACATTTAAATCAACTATAAGCAAAATAAGCAAAACCACCCATATACAGAAGAAACTGTATGCAAATTCTAATACACAGAAATCTCTCAATTTTAATCTATTACATAATTGGCTTGGCAAAAAATTCAGCTAAACACCAATTTTCTGACAAACTTCCAAGCTTCATGTCAATTAGTATTCACTAAAGGGCTGGGCTTTTTTCCTGCCAAGTTGTTTTCTGATCATTTTGGTAATAAGAAGATGCTCTGTATAGAAAAGAAAATAAATAATTCTAATTAATATTCCAAAGCTCATGAACTGAGATAAGCTGTGTGAGGTGAATAAAATGGCAGATGCTTTGGCTGTATCAGCCATGCAAGTGACACAAAGATCAGCACCAAGAATGCAAGTGAAGGGCAGTGAAGCCCCAAAGTACTGAGTACATACAGTACCTTTTGCTATGTTTCACAATTTGCAGTCTTAATGAACCATCTTACATTTTTTATATCATTTTGAGAGCTCTTAGAAATAAAAGTTTTAAATAGATCCTAAGCAAATCACATTTCTATGATGTGCAATGTCACAGGAATAGTGAAATTATTAAATGTAGCAAAACAAAAGTATATGGAAGACTATTACTTTCTCATTAATTTACTTCAGCTTGAATTAACTTTTTACATTAGCTCATTAGACCTTATGGAAGAACTGATGTTGAAGTAGGATTATTCATCAATGACTCCATTATGTCCATTACAGCAAATAATTAACTACTAGTATTTGCCCAGCTATTTTAAATAGAATTTTATTGACTATGCTTCAGGAGGGCAGAGAACAATGAATTCTTACACTGAGAACTCTATAATCATTCCCTTTGACAAATGTTGTGATATGCTAATTGAAAGAGCCACCTTTGAATACACCTCTATATTTAAAAAATAGTATTCAGATGGTAAAATCTCCCTTTTGGGGAAAGCACTCCTAAAAATCAAGCTGTAAATAGCTTACTTTAAAAATAGTTGTTAACACTGAGAAATTATATTTTCTTTGCAAGCTTTTAATACCTACCACAAGTAATTACTATGCAATGAAAATAAACCACAGTTTTAACTTCTCCGAAACAATAATAATCATACATTACAGAGAAAGTTCAGCTGCCTGAAGAAAAGCTCTAAAGCCATTTTGGACAAAATACCAGAAATTACAGAGAAAAAGAAAGCAGGGAATTAAAGCAAACATATAAAAACCCTGAAAGGCATACCTGTGAATGAATGATATTACAAGATGTCTGATCTGCATTCAGCTCCTCTGGGGTTTTGCAGCCAGGAACAAACAGCAGCATATTTGAGGTATCTGCTATTTTCATGTCATAAGTTTTATCTTTGCTGCACAACACTGCGTGTTCATCCTTCTCACCACGAATTATTAGGCTGGGAAAAAAAAAACAACATGGAAATAATGATGTATTTTTACCTCTGTTTCAGGATAATATTTTCTCACATTCATACATTTGTAAAGAATTACAAACTGCAGTTCTGTTTGGTCACAGTTCAACAAAATATAAAGATGCAAATGTCAATTAATCAAATTGACTATGTTTTGCCCTCTCCTTTTAGTAGGAAAACTCAAAAGACAAGCATTCCAAGTTTTCATGCAGAACACAGTTGAATGCCTATAGTCATACAACAATACTCTCAACCCCCCTAAAACAGGGATGAAGTGATGCTTAATGTGTGAACTAGTTCTCTAATCTCAGAAATTAGATTACGAACTAGAGTTGTTCTTTAATGAAGACTGAAGCTGGCCCACTGTGAAACAAGAAAGCAAACAGAAATTGTGTTTATTGTGCAGAGCCCTTCAGATAATTAATACCTACTTTCTTGCAAATAATTCCAAGCAGGAAAAGAATAATCTTCTGGAACAACACTGGACAAAGAGACAATGCAAAGCACCCTCTTCAGCTCACATACTTGATGAAGTAAAGATTCTGCATTAGGTTTAGGATGTGATAATAACAAAGCAGGACCACGACAGGGGAACATTCAGTTCCTCCCAGGCTACACTAACCTAAGTGCTCAGATTCAATTCAAATAAATGCTCCTCTCGTTTCCCAAAGCCTGCATGCATGACCAAAGCTCAGCTATGCCCGAAGGTATCAACATGATGCAGGCCTCTAATTGATAATACTTCATCAGTATTGCACTAAATAGCAATGGGCTTACTAACATGCATCTCACAGAACTACCTTCTTTAGAGAGACTTCTCATTTTGCATCAAAGGTTTTTCTTATGTCACTGGCATTGCAGTAAAGGAAGAAATTTAAAACAGTATCAAAACCTTATCTAGAACCTGCTCTTGGTTCAGAGTTTGGTGGCACATAACCATCCACAATCTTATGCCCATGCTAATGCTGCACATCATTCCCTGCTGATCTGTCTAATTTGTAGGCAACCTGCCATGAATCAGGCATCGAGAGTTGTAACAGGAAAATCTCAAAGTCAGCGGGATTCTTTCAGAGACACAATCTCTTTTCTAAACCTGTACTTCTGATCACAGAATCACAGACTATCCCGAGCTGGATGTGACCCACAAGGATCGCTGAGTCCAGCTCCGGGGCTGGCACAGGACTGCCCAAAGAATCACACCGTGTGCCCGAGAGCGCTGTGCCAGGCTTGGTGCTGTGACCACTTTTCGGGGAGCCTATTCCAGCATCTTCTGAGTTTTGTTTAGAAGTCTCCACAGCAGGAAGTTTTCCATAAAAAAAAAAAAAACAAAAAAAAACCCTACACAAACACAGAAAATAAACCAACAAAACCAAACCAAACACGCTTCTTATAAGTGTAAACAGTTTCCAGTGTAACTGAAAAATAATCCAACAAAAACAAACCAAACACGCTTCTTATAAGTGTAAACAGTTTCCAGTGTAACTGAGACAGGTTTGAGGGATTTGGGGGCAGGCACGCAGATCCCATCAGAACACGAGCCCCGCGCCCCGCACAGCCCGGCCCCGCGCCCGCCGTACCTGCGCCCCGCCTCCAGCTCGGCGCACAGCGCCGGCTCCAGCTGCAGCAGGCAGCACTCGCCGCCGCCGGCCTGCGGGCCGAAGCTGAGGCAGTGCACGGCCGGCAGCAGCTCCGCCGGGTTCAGCTTGGCCGTCTGCAGCGTGGCGTCCACCTCGGCGCGGCTCCGCATGGCGGCCCCGGCCCGCTCCGAACTGCGCGCCGCGGCCTCCATGTCCCGCCCGCCCAGGCGGGGCCGGGCCTGCGGGGAGCGGGCGGCGCGCGCAGCCTGCCGCGCTTCCGCGGTTGGCGGACGGACAGACAGACAGACAGCGGGGAGGGTGGGAACGGCTGGCTGTGGTACCGAGGGGAAGGAATCGCTTCCCTCTGCTCCTCCGCCGGGTCTAATCTGGGACAAACCTCCCGATTTCTGTCTGGCTGCACAGGAGCCGGGCTGTGCTGCAGTAAAATCTCCCGTTATGCCAAAAATGCAATAAAAATATACAAAGTGCGCTAAACTAAGTAAAATGACAAAACATTGCACAAACAGGCTCAGTATGGTAGTCACTGCCCAGCTCTGAGGCAACATAAAATCATAGACGTGTTTAGGATGAAAAAGGCTTCCAAGAGCTAAAATCCAACCTTTTATCCAGCACTGGCAAGTCCAGCACTAAGCCATGTCCCTGAGTGCCGCACCTGCCTGTCTTTAAATGACCTCCAGGGATGGTGACTCCACCACTTCCCTGGGCGAGCCTGTTCCACTGCCTGACCACCTTTCCTGTGAAGACATTTTTCCCACTGTCCAACCTAAAACTGCTGGTGCAACCTGAGCTCACTTCCTCTCATCCTGTTACTTCTTAGCTGGGATAATTCCTGGCTGGCTACAGCATCCTTTCAGGGAGTGGTCGTGAGCAATAAGGTCTCGACTGAAACTCCTTTTCTCCAGGCTAAACACCCCCAGCTCCCTCAGCTGCTCCTCACCTGAGCTGTGCTCCAGACCCTTCCCCAGCTCTGTTGCCCTTCCCTGGACACACTCCAGCCCCTCAATGTCCTTGTAGTGAGGGGCCCAGAACTGGACACAGCTCTCGAGGTGTGGCCTCGCCAGTGCTGAGTACAGGGGGACAATCCCTGCCCTGGTCCTGCTGGCCACACTGTATCTGATCCAGGCCAGGATGCCTTTGGCCTTCTTGGCCACCTGGGCACACACTGGCTCATGTTCAGTCCTGGTTGACCAGCATCCCTTTTCCTCCTGACAGCTTTCCAGCCTCGCTGTCCCAAGCCTGGAGGTGTGCCAGTTTCAAAGTTTTTCCTTGACACCAAAGCATGACAGCAAGTGTGGAGAGAGGGAGATCGAGTGTGCAAGCCATCACAGTGGGTGGGAAAGCACTGCTGAGGTGGCTGCCACGCACTGGTGTCACTCACCCCAGCTCCTTCTGTCCCTCTGGGGACAGTCTGACCGAGGGCAGCTGCACACAGGCTCTCATCCACGCATGACCCTTAGGAAAGGGCTTGCGCAGCCTCCACACAGAGGTTTGTCTCCCTGTGACTCAGGGCTCAGCTCAGGCTCTTGCTGTGGCCTGATGTGGCTATGTCTGTCAGAGGAAGCCGTGAGGAAGTGCTCGAGCTAAAGCCATGACACAAATGAGTGGAAGCCACAGGCATGCGCAATTATTGCAATGGAAATAGTCTGCAGCTCAGACATGCAGGGGGAAGTCTATCGACATCCTTAAACTGTAAGAAGAGAACAGAAGCAGAGGCTCAGAGCTGCTCAGCTAAGCAGCAGTGAGAGTCAGACTTCTGCAAGGAGCAGCACAGGATGCCTCTTCCCTGCCTTGTCCAGGACAACTGGCTCCTCACTGATTTTTGCTGTAGGGCATATTTACACCCAGCCTGGTAGTGTGTTAGTCCTAGTTCCCTGCTGCGTGCATCAGCTAACAAATAGTTACTCAGTGCTCCTGAGTTTTGTCTATCCATTTGCAGAGTACCTCTGTCTTGATAAGAGTCTGAACCAAATGACCCAGATGAGGAGGTTGTAACCCCTGTTACGTGGGAACCAGAGGCAGGAGCTGGTGGGATGGAGCTGGCTTGGTTCAGTCCCAGCCTGGCAGAGATCAGCTGCTGTTGTACGTGACTGAGTCAGGCATCTTCTGTCTTCAGAAGGTGATGCCTGAGTGGTGCCAGTGGGGCAATTGGCCTTGGAGAAAACTTTGGCTGAAGTTATTAGGCAGTTTCCTCTGTAACACACTTGTGCTGTGGCTTGTTCAAGAATTAGACATTAGTCATGTTTTCATGTTTTATTTCAGTTTTTGGCAGGTGGAAATACCGTCATTGTGCACACAGGAAACCAGAGACACTCCAACTTGGGCTAGTTTCTACTAATGCGTAGGTGCAAACTGATATGTGGATAGCCTTGTTTGAGACTTACATTTTGATTTAATGTAAATTTCTTCATGCACACCTCAGGTAAACCAGAAAATCACTTTTTACCAAGTAAATGTTGAAATAATTACTAAGCTCATTTGTGATGGCTTTAATTTATACCTTAATTTGTGCAATTTTCCAATGACCTTGCATACCTGCTTCTTCTTCTTTCTACTTTTCATTCTGTGAAATAAAAACAAGTTCTGGTACAGCCAAGAAACTGAATCCAAGGCATGGGTTCATGGAGTTTGTTCCCTAAGAGATCTTCTATGCAACAGAAACTCAACTGGAATTAAATCACTGGATGTTATTCAGCAGTTGGCATTGATCTGTGGTCAGAACATGTGTAGTAGTTATTAATTTTTCTAATCAGTTTTGTTTTTCCTGGTAGTTCTGGTTGAAGATGATTTTTATATATTATATAATACATATTATATATATTATATATGTATTTAAAATTATATATGTGTTGGAACTGACATGTATGTGCTTGTGCTGTCTGACATCTTTCTCTGTCTGTCCTTCATTTACCCCTGAAAGATGCTGTTCAAGGTCAAAGCAAATTTGCCACCAAAATTTCCTGCAATTTTGGTAGAAATCGGTGGCTGGGTGATATATTGAAACCCCTACTTGGGGGAATGCAGCTCTGATCCATTCTAAGAGGCAGAGGCCAACTGGCCTATCACCAAACACATGGACATAAATCTATAGAGATGTCTCATTTCTCAGGAAACAGCTGGTATTATGCATCTGTTTTCACTGACATTGCTTTAGAGCAGTGACCTGACAAAAACAGGTTTGTCTAGGAACTCATGAAGTTGGTTTCTTGAAACATGGATGAACCATTTAATAAATTTGAATTGCAGAGAAAATGAGATGATGAATTATCAATGTTGCTGTCAATTTATAAGCATGGCATGCTTATAAATGCGTGCTATGGCAAAAGAGCTTGGTAAGATCCTGAAATTTTATACTGATGCTGCAGGGTTATTTATTTGCTTTGGAGTTGCTATAGCATAAATGAGTTCTGTTTTCAGTTTGATCTGGTCTGGTGGACTGAAACTGTCAGGGGGCAGGAACGTGTAACATCATGGTACAAGCAGGGGTGAAACTCACCTGGAGGAGAATGGAAGCAAGAGTTGAGGAAGCAGTAAATTCAGCCATCCTGACTTAACTAATCACCAGCTGCTGTCAGTCCACCCAGGTGCCTGTTGGAGCCTTAAATGGACACGTAGACTGTCCATTTAAACTGCCAAATAGCCTCTGCATCCTTATCTGGGCTGGGGACAGGGCAGCGTTGGAGCCTTAAATGGACACGTAGACTGAACTGCCAAATAGCCTCTGCATCCTTATCTGGGCTGGGGACAGGGCAGGAATGAAGTCAAGCCTCAAGCAAGATGAGCTTTGACATACTTTTTCAACTGACAAGTGTTAATGGAAATTACTGTTAATGTAATGAATGTGGTTGAGTGAAGTTAGCGAACAAAAAAAGGATCTTTGAAGGTTGTTATAGTCTTGCCTTTGAAGTCCTTGGCCCTGTTTAATCATTCCCAGAACTCAAACATCAGGGATGCGAGCCATTAAATGAATGAAGGGCATCTGTGACAAATCAAATCAAAGAAATAACTCCAAAGCTCCACACTGAAACACGGAATGATGAAGCAGGAGATAACAGTGCGCAGTACCACTGTCAGGCTCTAGTCATTAGGTAGCATGTTAGGGGGATGACTTCCCAGTGTGATTGCAATCCAAGTGCTTGGACCTCTACAGTAAAATGTAGTGAGAAAATAGGGCTACATGAAATGGGGTGTTCAAATGACAAAGACGTACACACTGGAAATTTACAGATGTCCTTAGAAGTACAACAGAGGTAGCTGAGGAAAAAACCAAAAAGATAAAGCCAGCACTGGAAAAACTGACACAGTGCCAAAGTTGAATATAGCAACACATTATCAGCTCAGTGATAATTACACAATTCACAGTTACTGTTCTTGGAAATTATTCCACAAGAGAGGCTCATTTTGATTAAAACCTCATAAACCCTAGTTCAAGGATTTCTTTTTTCAGCTGGAATGCCATCTGCAACATGTAAAATTAGCATGTGTGTTATATTTTCACTCATTAAATGACAGTTTCTCATTGTCTAGAAATACCTGCCATAGGATGTGCTCATTGTGTGTGAAGGTGACCACTGAAGCTCTAGGTGTGACTGTCAAACTCCAAAGCTCCACACTGAAACACGGAATGATGAAGCAGGAGATAACAGTGCGCAGTACCACTGTCAGGCTCTAGTCATTAGGTAGCATGTTAGGGGGATGACTTCCCAGTGTGATTGCAATCCAAGTGCTGGGACCTCTACAGTAAAATGTAGTGAGAAAATAGGGCTACATGAAATGGGGTGTTCAAATGACAAAGACGTACACACTGGAAATTTACAGATGTCCTTAGAAGTACAACAGAGGTAGCTGAGGAAAAAACCAAAAAGATAAAGCCAGCACTGGAAAAACTGACACAGTGCCAAAGTTGAATATAGCAACACATTATCAGCTCAGTGATAATTACACAATTCACAGTTACTGTTCTTGGAAATTATTCCACAAGAGAGGCTCATTTTGATTAAAGCCTCATAAACCCTAGTTCAAGGATTTCTTTTTTCAGCTGGAATGCCATCTGCAACATGTAAAATTAGCATGTGTGTTATATTTTCACTCATTAAATGACAGTTTCTCATTGTCTAGAAATACCTGCCATAGGATGTGCTCATTGTGTGTGAAGGTGACCACTGAAGCTCTAGGTGTGACTGGGGTTAGAGCTCTGAATGCTCTTTCAGCAAATCACAGACTCCTGTGAGACACTGGGAGAATGACTGTCTACAATGACTGCGTTACATTTCCTTCCTAGGAAAACAAGAAAGAGAAAAGTCCAAACAGAAAATATCATTATGCCATTGAATAAATCCATTGTGCACATATCCCAAATAATGATTGTCTAGTCTGTCTTAAATATAAGAACTGGGGATTACTGATGAAAAGAACAGAAAGTAATGGATAACAGGAGAGGATAAATTTCTATGCAACACATTGAGAAACTTGGGAGATGTGGTAAAAGTCAAAATTACTTTGATTCACAGAAGAGTTAAACAAGTTCATAAAGATGTGCTTGACTCTGTACAATCACAATATTCAGGTTTTAGTCATAACTCAGGATCCTAAATAAATTCAGACCCCCTAAGTCACCAGAGCACACACTCTTCTGCTCTCCATTGGAGTTGGTTATTGAGACATACTTTGATTTTTTTAAACTTTTTTTTTTGTTTGTAGTGAAATGTAAAATAGCAGAGCAGTGGCTTGCATATTCTATGTTGCAGACCTTGGTTCATTTGTATTACTGTACTCCAATAAAACCATCACACCTGGTGATGTCAGCCAGAAAAGCACCACAAAGCAAGAGCTAATGAGTCCAAGACTCAAACAGAGAAAATTTCAGCCAGTTAGTAGAATAACCAGATAGCTCATTGCTACCTCAGCCAAGGCTGTCTTGTCAGTCTTAACAGGCCACCAGGGAGATGCAAAACACATATATTCAAATTAGGAGAAAATAAACAGCTGTAACCAAGCCTAAATATTCATGTAAACCATACAATAGCTTGGAGTGTTTTGGTGACATTTAATTTGTTCTGGCCTGGAAAAACTGGAGAAGAAAACTCAACCACAAAGCTGGAAAGCATACACCAAATAGCTGGAGCTCAAACATGGTCAAGACAATTTGGAAATGACTTTGAGAATGTCACTGCACACTGTTGTGACAAGCAAGAGCCCAAATGCTCAATGCTTATGAGACAACCAGCAATTAGAGACCTGTTTCTTTGCTATGTTATTTCTTTGCAGGGACTGCATGTGTAATTGCAAACAAAGGCAGAGGATCAGTCATGCAACACTGATTTGAAGATAAGGTGGGGTAAACCTGAGCAAGCTGGTACCCAGCCTACATTCAGAGCTTCTCCCAGTCTCAGCCAGTCAGCCAGGACATTCATTGCTGCACAGCATGTCCTCACAGGGTCAAAATGGTGCAATGGGGGGGAAGGTGCTGTGATCTTTGTTCACATTGACATGAAAGAGCAAACTGTTTTTTTTTTAAATAATGTAATAATTACAGAGACCCTTTTAAATTTAGAATATATGTCAGGCAGCCATGTTAGTTCATGCATGAGTACATCATTAAAATCTTTTGCTCCCTGCACATAATTTTCTGGATAGATCTCCAGAGTGCTTCTACCACAGCAAAGCCTGTAATTCAGACTCAGATGATTTTGCTAGTTGGGAAAATTAGCAGCAATACTTTACTGCAGGCCCTAAAATTTAATCTCATAAACCACCTCCTGCTAGAGATGTTTAAAATGGTGTTATTATTAATATTGGGGAGTTACATGAGATAAATGAAAACAAATGTAGGGGTTTTTTTATACTGTGTAGAGGATTTTGTCGCTATTTTCAGTCTGCAGACCTTATTAATCCTGACAACCTAAATACCAGTATGTGTCATCTGGCAAGTTATCCCATCATCTCACTTCTTGACTAGATGCTATCTGCATAGCAGTAACCTCAGAAACTGGGTGGTTTTTAGTTTATTATTAATTTTTAAGGCATTGCTGGGGATATATACTACAAATGTATCCCAGCAAACTACATACTTACACTTTCTGTATAAATCTAAAATAAATAAATAGATGAATCAAATTAATGTGAAAACCATGGCAATTTTATGCAAAATACTTTTAAAAACCCAAGCAGGAAAAGGCATCAAGTATTTTATTTATAGGGAGGATACAATGGAGGAATAGAGTGGCACAGGAAGATGATGGTGAAAAATGGCAAAATGAAAACTTAAATGAGAAGAAGCCAATATGGGAAAAGCTCATGTAACAAAGGGAGCAGAACTCTTAAGTGGGAAAGAATAAAATGCAGCACAAATGAACATATCACAAACATTATGTCCAACAAATCTAATGCTGGAATGAGCTGCAGAACAAATATCTGATTCTGTTACATTCTAGGTGTTTCTCATGCTTCTGCTTATAGGGCCTTCTAGTTTCACCCTTAGTCATGATGAATAATGCAGTCTTGGACTGTAACTGTTGAAGAATTACCATTTCACTCAGTTTTGTCATTCTCAACTTTCCTCCTGGTGCTGAAATGTTAGATGAGCAGGCTATACCCTTCCCATCTTGCTCCCCAATATACTTAGAAGCCCTTCTAATCCCATGCCCTTTTTAGCCCCAAACCATCAGCCTGACATGAACATGGAAAAACTCTGCAGACATCTCTGCAGGAAACATTTTATTCTGAAGATTTCCATCTACCCCCCTCATCAGGTACTAGGGTCTATGCCTAAAGCATCCCATGTCTATTATATTTTTTTTATATTTTTCTGTGAAGATGCTAACCATCTTTATTTTTTTTTTCTCCTGCTGCCGAATACTGGATTTTGTTAAGGGGACAAACATTTTTCCATTGTAATCACTTTCTAAATGAGTATCTCATATTTTTTTACAACTCTGTGAGTAATGAATAGTAGTGAGTATATCAAAAGGGCTGTCAATGTCTTGAGATGTTGAAGAATTTGCCATAACATGGTAGGCTATAACCAGGATAGGTAATTTTCCCTTCACTGGATGTTTTGGCCTCTCAGATCCCCAGTCACTGTTGACTCAGAAAAGTTCACTGCCTGTACACTTAGAAGAGATTCTTGTCCTTTCACCTTCTCCTGCCTGCGTATTGGAGACTGGGTCATCAGTTCTAACCTAACAGAATTGCCTCAACCTGGGAAATTGCTTGGTAAGTGGATGGTGAGACTGCTGTCATCATGAACTGCTTCAGAAGAGATCCTGTGTGAGGCATGAGGCCAAATACTTCCCTTTAAGCCTGTCTTCAGAGAGCTAAATGAGCTTTCCTCCAAAATTTTATTATTTGAATGAGAGGAACATCAAAGGCAATTAAAAAACTTCAAATGCTTTAATTAACAATTCTATGCAGGTTCCATTCCTGGGGGAGTGCACACTGGAGTCTGCCAAATTGTGTTACAGAAAAAAGACAGGTGTAGCTGATCCTGTTCCACAGTGGGGATGTGCAGTAAGTGGGCCACCTGAGATGCTTCTGGGTGACTTTTCTGTATTGACATCTTTACCAGTGGCAATTTGGAGGGCTCCTCTCCAGAGAGAGCAGTCAGTGCAGATAGGGACAGAAGGTCTTGTCTCTCTGACAGTTGCTGTGAAGTGACTGTAATACAGGGAGAAAACTCCAAGGGACTTAACAAAGAAAATTTATTCTGTCCATCTCAACCCAGGAAGTCCCAGACAAATACTTGTAAAGTGCCTTCCTGAAAAAGAATATTGAATTATCCAGTGTTTTACTGACTTTTTAATTTTTACTAGATTGGGCATTCATTCGATTTTTGGTGTTCATTGGGGAGGGAAATTAATGATGGAGTCAAATATGTTTGTGTTTTTAGTTCTGTGCAAAGATTGTCTTGTCTAAAGATTATTCCTTTATAAAATTAGCTTAACAGTCTTTTTCTTTTGTGGAGAAATATGAAAGTGCAAATTTCTAATTGGCACTTTCATATTTAAATTCTTGAAAAGGCCACAGGGTGGCAGAGCGATTAAACAGTGACAACAGCTCTTTCTGCGGCCATGGACCCGAGCCAGGCGGGCTGTGCTGATTATCCATCCCAGTGGAGCGAGCCGTGCTTTGGAGTGTGGCGTTGCCGCTGTCCCACAGCAGCGGTGGCACTTTGTCACGGTGCCGTGCCGCTGCCCTGCCCCAGCGAGCTGTGCGAGCACAGAGCGGCTCCGCAGGCGGAGTTCCTCGGGGTGATGTCTCTGTGTGCCCCGCAGCCTCACCTGAGGAGTTACAGCCTGGGGTGTGGTGAGGGACAGAGACGGCGCTGAAGCCTCAGCAGCCCGTGAGGAGGCCTGTGATTCTGTGCCTCACAGACGGAGCTGTTGGGGCTCTGTCAGTCCGTTTGCCCCTGTGGCTGCCACCAGAGCCACATGTCCCCTGAGACGCGCCCTGCACGCTCGCACCAGCGCCCAGCACCCACCCCAAGCCCTGGCGGTGATGCTCACCCCAGGAAACAAGGAGCCAGGTGCCCTAAGGCAGAGTGTGCTCCATCGTGTGGAAAGAGAAACGGTCAACAGAAACTCGTGCTGAGAAGCAGAAATAGACAGCAAAGGATACTAAGGTGTCTTAGACTGAATCTCTACTCTGAGGTGTTGCCTCCCAGCGAAGAAGAAAAGCAACCCATGCTGAGTGTTCAGGGATGATCACAACTCAGTGTCAAACCGCCAGTTCGAGCCACAGTGCTTTAAGCAAACATCTTAAATCTTGTGGCCAGACATCAGAGTGTTTAACGCAGAGGCAGCTGGGGCATGGCTTAAGAAGCTGGCTTTTACCACAGAGCTAGAAGGTGGGAAGTGGTTTAGAAAGCAGCTCCTTTTCACCCCTTAGTCACACTTCCCAGCTGACTCACACCTCCCAGTCCATGCATTAGGCTGGATATTACACAAGTCTAGGACTATGATCTGGACTAAACATGATATAGATGCAACTCGAGTTGTACAAGTACATAATTGCCATTGGTTAAAATGCAGAATAAAATAAAGAGCAAACAAACAAACAAAATGAACTACTGGAAATACATATGAACTTCTTCAAAGATAAACCTGAGGTTTATAGATTGCTTTTAGGTGTGATCATCACATCATTTTTGTGATGATCAAAATTTGAAATAATTGGAAAATGAATATATGAAATAAGAGGAATTAGAAAATATTCCAGGTATAATGAAATAGGGGGCAGCATACATTGGGTAGTGCAAAATGCTGGTTTAACAGAGCATACTGTCAACTGGAATTATTTGGGTTACTGGTCTGATGCGAATTTCTGATCTTTTATATTATTGAAGCTGCTTGTTTCTATAAAATATTTACCTGCTCACTAGAGCAAGCACTAAAGCAGGTACCCATCTCTTGGTCATGCCTTAGCTGTCAGTCTGCACAGAAATCTCACTACCTCTGTCTGGCCTAGTGAGTGTTTGAATATTTAATGCAAAATGGAAAAGCTGTGTAGGGACAGGCTTAGAAAACCCCTTTCAGATTGTCTCTGTATATCTCAGGATCAAAATGCCTTTTTCTCTGCACTTCAGCTCACTATTACAACAGCTACCAGGTCTGTAACACATGAAATATAAGAATATAAACAGATATGATTTTCACTCTAGTGCTGAAAAGCTGGACAGACTATGAAAAATTCCTTCTGTTTTCTCACCATGGAGGCTCTTGAAGGAACTTGGATGTAATAATAGAAAAAGAGAAGTTTAACTAATATTCTTGTTTTTTGGTTTTTTTTGTTTGTTTGTTTCTGGGTTTTTTTTTGAAAACTTACTACTTACTAACTTTCCTGTGGTTTATCACAGGACTAAAATTAGCTTGGCCAGATGTATTCTTTGAATCACACAAGCACTGATTCTTACTTCCAGTTCCTAGCAGACAACTTGTATGGTTCAAACTTAGAGCAGCAATGAATGCAATCTGTGCACTTCCATGTGTGGGAAACACTATTGTACATAGCTTGAAAAGAGGAGGGGAGATTGGACAATACCTGGTAGTTCCTATGGCACCCCTTCTAGTGCTAAGGAAGTCAACCAGTTGAAACACAAAGACAAGGGAGCTCTCTTTGCAAATAAGCATGGGAATATAGGAAAAAACCTTCACACTCATTTTCCATGAGTGTTGCAAGAGTTACTTAGATAAAAGGTCAACTTAAAAGCCAAAAAACCATTTTGTACTTGTCTTTCTCAGCAAAGAGAGTGACGTTTATAAAATTCCTTTATAAAGGAATTTTTGAATTTTATGTTTACATAATGATGTCTCTTATACAAAAGATGTTAGGGAAAAAGAACCCCACAACCATCCAGCAGCTTACCTGCTAATGCCTTTTGTCCCTGAAGTGCTTCACCATCTTTTGCATCCATGTCATTTTCCTGTTTAAAAATCTTATCATCCCAGCAAGGGAAAGCCAAACAGCTTTATATGGGACTCAAGAAGAATGCTGTAGAGAAATGAGAAGTATAGACATGAATACTTGTAATTCTTTCATGAGGATGTCTTGTGTTAAACTAAGCTTGCAGAAGATTGACTAGTGAGACTAAAGTATTAATTTATCAAACTATCAGATTAATTTTTTGAGTCAAAATGGAGGCCACAGATACAACAGTCTTCAAGGCACTAAAAGAAATATTCATGTTTCATTATGTAAACATCTAGTGTTTCACCACTTGGGCATTTACTAAATGAGATAAGAAAGTTTATACAACTTACTAACATGTTTTCTAAACCCAGCACTCTAATACAATGTGCCTATTCATGCATGAGCTTCCACAGAGCGTTGTGACCTTGGTGGTTCAAGTGTTACCACCTTATACCTCCCTGCACGCCAGAGAGCCTCTAATGTCATCAAAAGTCACTTGAGCTGCCCCTCACACCTGTGATACCAACCGTCTAGCAGACCTATGCAGCTTTTGTTACTCTCTTGATGTCATGGAGGATGAGTTTTGAAGTGTCCCTGGGCTCCAGCTCAAAGATCTGTCCTGCTTTTGGCTGAGGAATGCCTGACTGGTGGCTAGCTATCTCCATCTCATTTAACTTCAGCCATGCTAAAGTAAAACTCGGGTATTCATATCTAAAATAGGCACCAACTTCTAAAACTGATCCTATATCTGAAAAAAAATTTTTTTTTGCTACTTACCAGAGGTTGTCTCAGAGGGATGCTTCTCTCTCTCGTGCTGTTAGGATTTCAAACTCTACGTATGCTGTTCCACCTCTTAGAGGAGCATTTTAGTCTTCATGACCTCTCCCTTGGGAGGAAGGGTCAACACAGCCTACATTTTTGTTAGACCTTATGTTCTATAGCAGTCTGTAGATTAAAAACAAGTTGCAAACATCCCACTAGGTTATTTTGTGTAGCTTTTTACTGGCTCTTGCCCACAACGTGACACTTCAAGGTTATGTCATTACCCTTTTCTGGGGGACAGCAGGCTTGGAGTGACTGATAGCCAATTCTCTCCTCTGAAGATAACTGTAAGAAATTTCAGTGTGAACATGTGGAACAAATTACAAATGCGCTTGGAGTGACTGATAGCCCATTCCCTCCTCTGAAGATAACTGTAACTGTAAGAAATTTCAGTGTGAACATGTGGAACAAATTACAAATGGGATATCAGTGTGCAAAGGCCAACACGAAATTCTATAATCATTAAATAATCCAATACAGGAATTTGTACTGGCTTGCATTTTGCAAGTTGCAAAACTGCACAGGGAAGGATATGGATTTCAGGCTGCAGTTTCCACCAGCACCCTCTCACGACACTTTGTCACTGCACGAGGACAGCTTCTTGTCCCTCTTCCTCTGCTTTTCTTCCTGTTTCCAGCTGCCATTCTACCTTGCTGTCAGCTGGCACTCATTGCACCCTGCAGACATCTGCACAGCCTTGCTTACTAGCTCAGAAGAAAGTTCCCCACTTTCTGTTACTCTTCTGTCTGTTTAGTGAATTGAATTGCAACAAGCAGAGGACCTAGAAGTGGGATAACATAAGACACATTGTAGATTGTGTTGCCAGGGCCTGGAGGAACAGTGTATCTCCTTTTAGCAGCAGTGAATGGATTAAATCAGCCAAACCCAGGTGATAGAGCCAAGGATTTACCCAGAAATGGTCTGCAATGTACGTTCTCTTGAAATTGTCTTTCCTTCAGTCATGTGATAAAGCGCTTGATAAAAATTGCTGTGTACATTCTTTGTCTTAAAGATAAGGTCAGATGAGATGGTTGTTTTAATTCTCTTTTTGTTTCCAGCTCTGTGAATCTGTACTTTGTATGTTTTCAGTATGAGTGGAATTAGAGGCTGTTTGCAAGTATTAAGATTAAATGTGTGTCTTCCAAATTTACAGAAAATAATCTCAAACTGTAGTGCTTATAATCTTAAGGTGTCCCTCTCTCTGGCCCAAATGAAACAAAGGCAGATTGTGTTTTTCTCCCTTTTTCTCCCTTTGCTATTCATGAACATCTCGTGCTCTTTGAGACCCACAAAGGTGCTCATTAAAAGGACTCTACTGGGTTGAACCAAAGGTCCATCTAGTCCTGCATTCATCTCAGTGGCTATAAACAGATGCATAGGGAGCAGCAGGGAAAGCACATATGAAATGTCACACAAGTGCTTGCCTTGTGAGACCATTATTTTTAGAACAGAGAATTTCCTGAGCTGGATGTGGCTTCTGTCTGCTTAGTAACCCCATGTAGATTTCTTTTCCAAGTGTTTTTCTCTTTAGTTACAAGTCCATTCTTTTACATCCAGAGCCACCTTTGGTAATAAATGCCACAATTCCACTATGGACAATGCAAACAACACCTTCTTCCCATTGTCTGCAGTCTTGTTACTACTAGGTTCACTTGATTCCTTCTTAGTTTTTCTTGTGGTTCTATCATTTTGGTTCTGAATCGATGACAGTATTGCAAGTACTTTAGCAGACACAATTTCCATGCACACAGAGTATGTGCAGACAGATATAAAGGCAATGAGTAGGCAATCAAGGTATTGCATGTGTTTGCAAATGAAAACCATGGTTGGACCACTGCAGATGATGCCTCCTCCTGGACTTTTTTTGAAGAAAAGGGCGATTTTTTTCCCCCATAAAAATGTTGACAGTGTTCATGACCTTGCAATTTATTTCCCGTTTCCAAGACAAAATATTCCTCTGCCCTCAAGAATTCTGCATCCTCTGTCGCTTGGAGACAAAGAGTTGATGTAAGCAGGGGACCAGGGTTTGAAAATAACCCCTGTGTGGCAGATAAGCGGAAATGTGGAGAGCAGGAGGGCAGTAACAGTTTTTGAGGTTGAAACCCCAGATCAGCCGCTTCCTTTCTGCTAACCCGCCCCGCGCTGCATCTCCAAGGATCGCTGCCAAGGCGCAGCCCGCTCTACCTGAGCGGGCAGCAGTCGCGTCTCCTCCCGCGCAGTCGGATCGGCTTCTCCCGAGCTCACCGCTCCTCCCGGCAGCGCTGAGGGGAGGGCGCGGGACTTTGCCCCCGGGGGAAGGAGCCGCGGGCGGGGAGCGCTGCGCTCCCCCGTGCGCGGCCGCTTTCCGCCTCCCGGGCCGGGGCAGGCGGGGAGCGCAGAGCAGCGGCCGCTGGGCTCGCAGCCCCCGCCGGGGAGCGGCCCCTTCCCGCGGGGGCAGCGCCGACCCTGCCGTGCGACAGCCGGGGGGGGCCGCTGCTGCCTCGGCGAGCCCGGCTGCGGCGCGGCGGCTGCAGCCATGTGTTTCTCCGCCTGCCAGTGACACAATAACACGGGAAGCGGCGGGAGGGATCCGAGCCTGCCGAGGGGAAAAGTGACCTGAGGCGCCCAGGTGAGCCGGAGCGGCAGCAGGCGGCTGTCGCTGCCCGCCTCCCCGGCGCGGAGCTCCGGAGCTCGGGAGGCGCCCGGAGCCGCCGGGGGCGCAGCGCGGCCGGGGGGCGGCGAGTCCCGGAGCCCCTCACCGGAGGTGCTGAGCCCGCAGGCCGGCGGCGATGGAGGAGGGCATGAGCAGCATGCAGCAGAAAGCGGCGGAGCTGGAGCACATGGCCGAGGTCCTGCTCACCGGCGAGCAGCTCCGGTAAGCGCTGCCTTCCTCCCGCTTTGCCGGGGACGCGTACCCGCGGTCAGCAGCAGCCCCGCTGGCGGCGGGAGGGGGAGGCTTGGGGGGCGGAGGGCGAGGGTCTGTCCCCGCGGACTTTCTTTGCACCGGAGCACCTGCCCTGCTTCCATCGCGGGCCCGAGCTCCGGCTTTCAGCAGCGATGAGGGCGAGGGGCCTCAGGAGCGCTGCGAGCCCCGGAGGTGAAGCCCAGCACGGGGCTTGTGCCGCGGCACCTCCGCTCCCCCGCGGGCTGTGGAGAGGCGGCTGCGGCACCAAAGGCATCCAGCGCTGCAGGACAGCGGCGTCTTTAAACATAAAAACCCCCAAGAAACCAGAGATAAAGTGTCTCAGCACCCCACGGAGGGCAGCGCTCCGCGCAGCCCGGCCGGCACTGGGCACTGACCCCGCAGAGCTGCGCCTCGCTCCAAGGGACTGTTTTTATTCTGCATCAGCTGGTCCCAGCAGATGGAAGGGGATCCCTACTGTCAGTGCCAGCAGCAATTAACAGTGCTGTGTGACTGGAGTTGTGAGCAGCACAGGAGCCTTGAACAAAAATGCTTGACTCAGTTAATTTTTAATTCTGTGGTGTATGCTGGCTATATGTGCCAGCTGTACCTATAGAGCACAGAGGAGAAAAAGTAATTTTAATAACGTTGATTTGGTGATGGACCATCTTGTGGTTCAGGAAGAAAATCTCACTATAATGTATTACATAAGTAAATAGAAGGAGATAGTAAAAATATTTTTTCAGTAGATTTTCTTTAATTTTTAAAACTTTTTTCTCAGATGCCAGACAAACACTAAAAAGTGTTAGAAATGTTCCCTGCTTTGGCAGATACCATCATTGCTGCTAGTACAGACACTGTTACTGTTTGCATCCACAAAGTAAGGAGAAGTGCCAATTTGTGATGCACACCAGTGATACTCCTGTTTGTCAAGTAAATGTTATTTTGGTGATCTGGCTGCAGTACACACCAGTGCCTCCTCCAAGTTGAGATTTTGCTTCACAGTAGCCTTTAGGGTGACAGAGTACACTGGCACAGGTTCTGCATAGCGGATTTGGTGCAGAGTTGAGCACCCAAGTGTCAGATAAGAATTCTGTTGTTCCTAATTTATTTTACTAGAAGTTGAAGATTTCAGGCTAATACAAAATTTCTATAAGGATCACATTAATCTTTCTGTATACCTCATAGTTAAATGTAAAAGCAAAAGCTTTGCAATCTTTCCCAAAGGTGAAACTGAGGAAATGTTGTCAAATCAGGCTCCTAGAATCAGCTCATCTGTGTTGTTATCAATAATTACATTTGTCATTTTATTTATTAAGGTATTGAAACACCATCATCTTTTTGGGCAAGATGATTTGCAGATACAAAATAATTATTGCCCATCCTGTGAAGTCACCTGTGGGCATTCCTTTATGAATCTATAAGAAGTGACTTATATCTGCTTGGACTGGCAGCTCATGAACAAGTCAGTGTGCATAATGTCTGGCTGCTGCTGAGCAGGGAGATCTGCACTTCTTCTGGCCCTTTTCCTGCTGCCCAGCAGTGTAGTCCCACCTCCTCTTTGTGCCTGCTCAGTAACTTCTTGGACTTCTTGAAAACACATCTAGTGTGGTGATTTGGTGTGTAGGTTGATTTTCTGATCTGCTGACTTCCATTGCTATTGGGTCAGCTGGAACTGTGTTGTGAAACTGCATCCAAAATTGTCTGCTTCCCCCAATTTTTTCTTAACTTCATTCTGTTTCTGTGTTGGGATATTCTGTGCAAAGGATTTGTATTCTTCAGTTTTCCAGGCAGTAAAAACCACAAATAAGTGATAGAAGACTGGCCTGGCAGACAAGTTGTAGCCAACCCTGCATTTAAAGTTTCCCTTTTCCTGTCCAAGATAAGCATATAATTGTTAATGTGAAATGAAAATGTGGAGTGTTTTCAGGATCAAAGACAGTTTATATCAGCAGCCTTTGGGGCAGGCAAACAGATGATAGAAAACCAGCACACACGTGCACTCAAGGCAGCATACTGTACTCTATTCTTAGTGATGCTTACAACTGCAAGATTCCCCAGTGGGATTGATGTAGCCAGACAGGTGATTATGTGTCTATTTGGGTGAAAGTGCATGCAAGATGAGCACATAACTGAGGAGTAAAAGTGTAAAATGAAACTGTGAGCACGGTGTTACTTACACAAACCCAACCAAGTGGAGGTATTTAAAGCACTCTTGTACTAGACCAAACAGCACGTGTGTCTAAACTCAAATACTTACCAGAGCTGCTTGATTTAAATTCCTTGCAAAGTTCCTAGTGCCTGTCTCGCTCTGGCCTCATGCATTGCCTCACAGCTCTCATTCCCATCGGCTGTTGCATGTCCGTCCTTCTCT